AGTTTTCATGGGGAGTTATAGACCGTGACAGTCCAACCAACAAGATGGAGTTCAGAAGAGGGTGAGCATACCCTACATTAGTGGCAGTACATATAAAACCAAGGGTTCTGAGGATGCAGGGACAGGTGTTCCTTCTCTTTACCTGTCCTTTGTAGGGTATCTTTCCCATACTCCAGGAGTCTCTTTAACCAGGCGATACATTCTTCTTCCAGCCAATTCTTCTGATATTGTAACTCATGCCGATTGGCCTCCCATGCCCTCTTGGTGATGTGAGCCGCATTATCTACAGCTATCCAGGAGAGTGTGTCTTTGTTGAAGATAATGAAATCCTGTCCGTCATATGCATATTGCAGAAATCCCGTGGTGTTTCCATCCTCCCGCAACTCACAGCCAATCATCCTCTGGTAAGTGTGAAGCCCTGGAACAAACATGTAGGCCACTGAGGGTTTATACAGGGGCGTGGAGGTGGGTGCCCAGGTGATGCAACTAGGGGCATGGCTGGATATATCCTCTGCCCCAGAAAACAGAACCCCCCCAGGGCTACCATTGCAGCGCTGTCTCCAGGAGGTTCCTGCGACATAATCCTATCTATCATCAGACATTTGTGGTATACCTACTGCATGCCAAAGGAACGTGGTAATTCCTGCCTAGGGGAGTTATCCTATAATGGGATTAATTAATTGATGAACTCTGTAGTACATTGGAGGAGGGAGAGACATGCAGGAGCCAGAAATATCTCTGGAAAAATTAATGTCGTAAATCCTGACACATAAGTAAGCAACTCACTAAACCTGGCCACCAGGAAATGAAGCACAGAATGGCCACATTTAGATGGGAAAGGAGAAGATACAGGTCAGAAGCCTCAATGAGACTGGGATAGGGATGTGGGGAGCAAAGGACAAAGGGCTCCTGGGGACAACAGACAACTTGGAAGATACCTAGGCGGGCACTAAACCCCATCAACCAGATTTTCCAGGCTTTGCCAAAAGCCACAGAGAATGCCACTCGACAACTGCTCACGTGTGCTGCCAGCCCAGGGACCTCTCTGCCCGGGTGGGGACTAGGGAGAGGCGGCATTCAGTTGCATTCCCCACCTGAGTGATTGTAGTGACTCTGCAGGTGCTTCAGTTCCATCTTGAACGTCCGCTGCCAGCTCCTCAGCAGCTGTGTGTACCTCTCCCAGTGATCGGGGGCCAGGTTCTCTGCCACCCATGGGGCCTGCGGCTTCTTCACCCGGGAGATGCTGTCATATGTGGTGATGGGATAAGAGTCCACATACCCCACTGAAATAAATTCAGGGATCCCATGGCCAGGCTCTGAAACGCCCAGGCGAAAATACCTCAGAGAGTGAGTCCCTGGGAGGGGGGCAGAGAAGGAAGACGTTTACAGTCACAGACCATCCAGATCCAGAAGCTGTACTCCACTTAACCCCCCATCAGTGCTCTGGGCCCTAGCTGATGCTTCCTTTTACTGAGTCAGAACCCCAGCAACTCGGAGCTGGAAAGCAACTCGGGGCGGGTAGAATTGAGAGCTCCACCCCAAGGCTTGGTGCCTATTGTACCAAACCATTTTCCTATGCTTTCTCTTCTTTTCCTTCTGGCCAAATATCATTAGAAGAATTGTGATAATCATGAAGGGTCAAGAGTAAGCTAAAATGAAATAGAACTGTTTGGCCCTCTCTGCCACTTCAACATTGAACCTCTCTCAGCTCGTCCAAGAAGCTCACACAGTCTAATGGAGACAGACGAGGAAGTTTCAAAATAGTGTGAAGAGTGTCACGATGGGGTGAGTGCGGGGCATGGGAAGACTTTTCAGAGAAGATATGTCTTAGGGGAGATCTCAAGGACAGGTAGGAGGGGAGCAGGCAAAGGGACTGGGTGGGGACACAGGAGGGAGAGTTTGGCAGCAAAGCAGAAACCATGCGGGCAGGCAGGAGGCATGAGAGAGTGTGGCATGCTATGAACCAATGGCCTGGGATGGCTGGAGCACACGAGTGCCACAGAGGAGACTGGGAGATGTGGCACCTGAGAAGTAAGCAGAGCCCACGTTGAGAAGACCAAGGCGCTCCACATCATGCTAAGAGCTGGCAGATGGAAGGTATGCAGCAAACCTGGCTTTCTTCCCCTGCTCTGCTCACTGCTGTCTGGAAATGCTCATCTCTGAGCCTTTTGTTGTTACCTCCTGCCATCCTGATCCACCTAAACTCTTCCCGGCCATCAAACCCCATCTCGAAAGACACTCCCAGGACCTAAAGGTGCTGGTTCTTTGACAAGAGCTAAGATTGAAGCAGAAGCACAAGTTCTATCCCCAAACCAAGAATTACCACATTCCTCCTTCTAGTCTCTTTATCTTTGCACCCACTTCTTTACCCTAAGGGACTTAAGAACTGGGCCTTAGCATTTTTCCTTTGTATTTCCTGCAAGGCCCAACACAGGGACATGGGACATGGCACATGACACAAGGTAGGAACTTTGTAAATATCTGTGAATTAAATTGTGAGCAAAACATTTTATTTCTCTGCTTTGAAATAATGAAATATGCTGAAGTGAATGTGAATCTATTTAACCTGGAACTTATACTTTAAAAAATAGTTTTCATAAAGGGCAAGCTGATGAATGGAGAGCAGAGCTGAATCTAATTTACATGTAGTCTGGAGTCTGCAAGAGGTGTGTATGCTTGAATCTGTAACTGCCTTTGAAACAGTTCTATTTCTCCACATCTGGAAAGGTTCGGGGGCTACTCTGCAGATATGTAACAGTTTAAAGATGGAGGCAAAAGGAAGAACAAGTCATGAACATCAGTCTTCGCCCTTTCTTAACATCCATTTGTGTGTTCAACAAACATGTGAGCACCTCCTCTGTGCCTCCTCTGCTCTAGGTCCTGAGCACACAACAGACAAAACAGATAAAAGTATCTGCCCTTATGGAGCCTACACTCTGAAAGGGAGAAACGGAGGAAGACAGACAATAAAAAATAAATGAAATATGTAACTTGTCTTTTAAAAAGTGCAATGAGATGTCTACGGCCATGCCACCCTGAATGCGCCCAATCTCGTCTGATCTCGGAAGCTAAGCAGGGTTGGGCCTGGTTAGTTCTTGGATGGGAGACCACCTAGGAAGACTACCGTAGGTGTTTAAAAAAAGAAAAGAAAAGAAAGTGCAGTGGAGAAAAATAAAGCTGCAAAGAGAACAAAGCCATACAATGTTAAACAGCAAATTAGAGAAGGCCTCCCTAGGAAGGTGACTTCTGATCAAGTACCTGTAGGGAGTAAGGGAGTGAGGCAGATACCTGGGGACAGCAGGCCAAGCAGAGGGGACCGTGCAAAGGTCCTGAGGAAAGGACGTGCCTGGCATGTTCCGAGAGCACCAAGAAGGCCTGTGGCTGGAGCTGAGGGAGTGAGGGGGAAAGAAATAGGTAGGACTTGCTTCCACAGTTCTTCACAGAAAAAAAAAAAACAAAAAAAAAAACTCAGAGAAATAAAATTCCAGACAAAGAATGGGCAAGAGAAGGAAGAGGAATTCAAAAAGAGACTGTGTTACTAAGGTACGTTGGATTGGTGTAGACCTTCCCTTGGAATCCGTGGTTGCTTTTATGACATCTGGGGTCTACTTGCCTAATAGATGTCAACAAGTTAAAAAGAAAAGTATTAACAACTTGAGGCATTACTGCTCAACAGGGGATTTATGCTAAGTATCACTGACATCATTGCCACACGCAACATTTACAATTCTTGTAATGTCACTTCCTTATAAAAATATCACTTCATAAAAATCTGCATTATCCAGAGTTATAAGAAGTAAATAGAGAGAAACATGGTCTATTGACAATGCTCTCCAAGTCCAGTGTAGTGTCCTTCCCTCCAGCCTCAACTTCGGTCTAATTCCTGGTTTCAGAGCAGTTCTCCACCAGCCAGCCCTGACTTCAAAGGCTGCTCTGGTCCTAAAGGCTGGCCTCCATCTGCTGGGCATCGGCCCATCTACCCCCCATGCAGCTGCGGCCTGGCTCTGCTCGAAGACATCGCAGCCCTCTCCCATTCGTTTGCCATGGGCGCAGTTACCCATCTGGTGTTTCCACAGGTACGAGTCACACTTGCTCCTTAGTTGGGCTTCCAAAATACGACCTCAGCTGTGATGGGAGGTTGGCGGACAGATGTCAAGTCAGTAACTCAGAACAGAAAAGACAAGGGAAGATCCATGGTCCCCTTTCTCTCATGGTACATTAGACCTTGTGATAATTTATAACCTACAGATGATCAGATTTCTAGAATAACTATGAAGATTGGTCAGATTTCCAGTATAACTATGAAGGCTAAATCATGTGAAAAGACCTATTTTTGATCTACTAAAATGGCAATTTCATATGATTTAATCTAAGAATCTTCTGATTCTTTCTTCTTGCTCCAATAATTGTGAAATTAGGTTTCTCTCTTCCTTTCAATGACAGATTATCAATACCAACCCACTTATTGAACCGAAACCTACAATATATAATTTGGTCTTCTGTCCAGATCAGTCAAGCTGCTTCTCAAACGGTATTTGCTGCCCTGTCCCAGACACTGCTGGAAAGTCTGAGCACCACAACCAAATGGCTCTTAGACCAGAAGCAGTGGTTACTTAGTGTCCTAAATGATGTCCCCTTTAACCTATAGATTAACTAGTTGGGCCATTTTTGCAAAAGGCTGTGAAAATCACTGGTTATAAAATAATTGATAAAGTACTTTCAGATACTCATCTGTGGGGACAATTTTTATTTATTGTGTATCTTCCTACGTTGTACAAGGAATTGTGAGGCCATGTCAGGAAGAGAAAAACAATCCAATGCCAGTTCCCTCCTTCCTTCCGGAACTGACAGTATTACAGGAGAACGAAAGCATGTAACATAAACAGAGAGCAATGACACACGGCAGCAAGCAGTAAGTGCCCTGGAAGAGGTGCTGACTGCGTGCTCCAGCAGCTCCGAAGAGAGAGAGCTTCGGCTCTCACGTGAAGCAATCTGGTGACAAACCTTCCACGAGCTACAAAGGGCAGCAGCACCTGCATCACGACCATGAGAACTTCACTCACGGATTGAGCACATACCGTGTGCTGGGTACCAGGCTAAGCCTTTGATAAACATGAGTTCCACTACTCCTCTCAGCAACACTGTGAGGTAG